TCAAGTTATGTGACACTGCTTCCAGAGGGAGGAGGTCAGCGTTCCTGGGGAAGGGTGGCACTACAAGAGGGTAAATGACAAATGGCACTACTGAGCCGGGCGGTCACTGCCTGCGCTCACAGCAGCCCAGCCTGCCCCTGCAAAGGCAGCTGGCCGCTGTAGAAAAACCACTGAGACCCACCCCGGTGTTCTCGGTACTTTTAGGTAAGGGAGCGGTCACACTGCGGTGCCTCGGTGCAGCCAAAGTGGGGCTGAGGAGGGGAGGGACCCTATGATTGCCAGATGAGGTTTCCACAGGCACTGTGGTTTTCTGCAAAGCACTTCAGTTGCGATTTCACACAACAACGTGGCCGGTGGCAGTACCAGCCGGGGGTATGCCACCTCCCGGCAACACGGGGCAGTGCCCGCGGCTCTGTGTGCGGCAGCACGCTCTGACCTGGGGCAGGGGAGAATCTGGGGGATGGCCAGCGCTGGTCACTCACAGGGGGACAGTGTGGAGACGTGTACCCGGGGTTGGCCGCCCCACAGAGGGCATGACAGCACTGGGGCAGGAGGGAGCTGCAGACGTGATGGGGGTGGGGTGAAGGCTTTTATCTGGTGTTGCCTCTGGACATTGTGCTGTGAAGCCACAGCCATGGCATTTCAGCCCTTCTCTTCACCCCTGAGCCTGGTAAGTATTATTTTGTTAAGCTGCTAAAGCTTCTGTTTTGCTAAGGCTGACCTGGGGAGCTGTGGTGTTCCTGCTGCTGCTGGCAAGGTTCTTACCCGCTCTGAGTAGAAATGGCCATTGAAAAACATTTGAAAAGTGCTTAATAGCAAGAAGCAGCAGGAGACCTGGCATTTGGGTTGAGCTGCACGACAGCGGAAGGAGTCATGTGGGTGAGGCTGAGATGGTCTGTAGAGCTGTGGCACAGATGGAGCTGCCATTGTCATATATTCTGACCAGTTGGTGGTGCTGTTGTCTCCTTGGCAGTGATGTCTGTGAGAACACACTGGTAGCACAACAAATTAGACGAGTTTAAGTCTCCTTTGGCTTAATGCTGCAAAGGCATCAGCCAAGGAGCGTTCATGGGATCACAGTGTCTCCTCTCACAGAGCGTGATGAACTTCTTAAACCCCTTCAGGGTCCACCAAACACACGTCCCTTTTTGTTCCTTATTCTGAAGCATCACTGATGTGTCTGAACATCTCACTTCTGCAGATCCTGCTCATCTCGGATTATTTCTATGCCTTCCTCCGGCGGGAGTACTACCTCACTCATGGACTCCACTTGACAAGGCAAGATGGGACAGAAGCCATGCTTGTTCTGAAATAAGGATTGTGCCCACCTTTCCCTGGGACATGGACCGCTCTAAGGAACATGCAAAGCTTGGGGTATGTGGGGTGGGTGGGGTAGGTTCCCTGAATGAGATCTTGACTTTGGGAAAGATACCTACTGAAAGAAAGGGCTGAGGTTCCTCTGGGAATGCCCTCCTGAGCTGTGGGCTCAGAGCAGAGACTGTAAGAGCTACAAGTAGGAGCTGCAGTGCCTCCATTGGAGCATCTCCCTTCTTCCCTCAGCTGTGCTTTTCCCTGTGACCTCAGCCATCAACTCCGGGCAGCCCCGCAGGAACTGGAGAAAGTGTCTGAGCTAAAACCAGGGCTGAATCTCTGGCTCAGAAAGAGCTCACACCAAAAACGGTTCACTTTAAAATCACTGCTTCTTGGAGATGTTTTGCTTCTCCTGGAAATTTCCCCTTCGCTGCTTTGACCAGTAATGCTCCTGCTTGGCACAGGGCAACCTCTGGGTACCTGGTGCCTCAGCCCCGGATGCAGGTGCCATTTCTCGGTTCTCCTACTGCTGTGGGATCTGGAAAAAATCATGTGTGCTCAGGCACAGTGGCTGCTGTGAAACAAATGGGGACCAAGGGTGACCTGTTGGAAGGGGGACGGCTGAAGCTTGTGCCACAGGTAATCTTGGAGCTCAAACACTACTGAGAACTGGATTGGGGGTGAAAGCAAAACTGGATTTGGGGTGAAAGCAGGAGCAGGGTGGGTACCGGGTAACTGCTGTATCCCATTGAAGCAACACAGACACTTCCACGTCAGGAACTGCACAGAGGCATGACGGGGAGTTGGAAGGAGGAACGCTACTGTGGAGATAGATTCCCGCTGCTCCTCGTTTCTGTAGGGTAACAAAGCCCAGCAGTGCGGGGCTCACACCATAACGTTGTGTTCACGTGAGGCAGCAGCCTGGGTGTGGGACGAGTGTGCTGCCTGCCCGGGCTAGGGACCAGGAGGTGTCAAAATCTCCCCTTTAAGGTGCCAGACCAAATCCAGAAGGAGCCTCAGCTACCGCTGTTGAGGAGTTGTTTGGCTCCAGGTGTGCCACAGGTGCGTAACAGTATGGGATATGCGCTTCTCCGTGTTACCCTCTTGCAAGTACCATGATGGTGTCTCGTGGCTGTGCGCGGAGGACTCCGTTAAAGCAGTGCCCTTTGGTTCCCCCACCGCTCCCCTCCCGCTGTGCTCAGACCTGCTCACTGCAGAGCTGCTGCTGACCCCATGGATGTGACCCACCAGGGCAAAGCCACCAGGCTGGCTTCTCGCTCTGCTGGCTGCGTGGTGGCAGGAAGCGGTAGCCGCAGGGCGAAAGCCGCCTTGCCGGTGTCGGGGCAGCAGGCAGCCTGCTCCCCCCCGCAGCTTAAGAACGCTCCGAAGGGCTGGGAATGTCACAACGTCAAAGCCAAACCTCACCTGGGACAGAGCAACCCAGAGACCGACATGCCCAGGCAGTTGTGCAAACAGCTCTTCTTTCTTTCTGGACAATTAAAACTTTTGCCTTACTGCACTGCTATTAGCGCTTTGGTGGGGGGTTGTTAATGGGCGCCCAGCTCAGCCCCCCGCGCTCAGCCCCCCGGGCCGGGGCAGACGGAGGCAGGGCTGCGCCCGGTGCCGGGCGGCGGGGCAGGGTCGCCGG